ACAGACAGCCTCTTCCCAATATGCGTTTTTGCAATTTGCATATATGCAAAAACGCATAAAAATGAGAAGACGAAACGGTTGAGGCACAAAATCTGCGGAGAATAATTTCAGAAAAATCTCGTTCAGCTTCTCTTTTAATTTAAATCCAGTATTACCCCCATCAAGGTCACCAAGATCGTTGAAGCTCTACTGATTGGAGTTCTCGGTCTTCTTGAGACGCAGCCACACGTCCATTTTTATTTTGAGTCACCTTCTATTTAGAGTCGCATCTGATTCAGAACGCTCTTCTTGTGGATGCGTACAGCAGTGCAAGCAAGGAAATTGCCAGAAAATAATAAAAGTGTGCCTGATCAATTTAATAAAAGTTGTTACCTGTGATGCGGTAATGAATTGCTGCTTCGGCTGAGTAGCTAAGTGCTGCTGTTGCGTTACTGTACTATAGGATACGTGATGCTGCTGTTGTTTTTGTAATTCACTGGTACCAGTCTTTTGGGTATGATGATCAAGGCCCTATAAAAACTTCCATCAGGGAAAAACAAAGAACGGTTAATGTCTAAAATTTCTTTGATATGAAAATCCCGACTGCGCTCGAAAGAAAAAATTCTATTACTGAGGAGAAAATGTTTTTGCACAATTAAGAAATTTTTGTGCATTTAACTAAAAAATAGCATAATTCGCTATCGTCTCCATAGTTACTTTGCACCTGAAAAGGACAGAATAGCCAGTTTTTCCGCTTAAGATAACGATGGTTATCTCTGGTAAAATCAGTAACAAAAAACTCAACCCCTCCGTCATAATCCGCATGTTGCCGTGCTTGCTGTTGTTGTGTTCTTTGCTGCTGTTGTTGTTGCTGCTGCTGTTGTGGTGAATGCATTCCTGGCACTGCCGGAGAGGTCGTTGGCTGATGCTGTTGCTGCTGCACAGTCAAACCTGATGGTTGAAGCTTGTCGTTCGATGGCAGCTAAACATTCTGCTTTTATAGTCTAATCAATGACACGCAGGGAGTATTTTTAGAAGCTGCGTAAAAAAAAAAGATTAAAAATAGAACTGCAAAACCGAACGGAGAAAGCAAGAAATAAAAAGTTGGAAAGCAAATTTTGCATATAGTTATTAAAATCGAAAAATTTCTCTTGGACACGTTTACAGTATTAATTTTATGTTTGCAAGCTCAAAATTAAACATTCTGTGAAGATTCTTAATTGCGCTGAGGGAAACTGAGAACAAAATAGTTGGGATCAGGTCTACCTGGAATTCTCAAAATGTTTCTAATAAATTTCTGTAGATAACAGCAAAGGCCGTGAAATAAAAGTCACAAAATTTCATAAAACTGAAGGTATTGAGCCAATAAAATTTTTTAAAGTCGTGATGCATCAAATCGCATACTTCAGGAGTTCATAATCTGCGCTATTAAATTTATTTCCCGAAATAACAGTAGCTTTATCCAATACCCAGCTACATTAATTAGCCATGCAGTTACGAATACTGGATTTTGTGACGTGTGTGGGAGGCAGAGCTGGTAATGCCTACAAAATTATCGGAATTTCGGACACTGTTCTTACCAATTTTAGTAAGAAGTTAGAATAAGGAGGAGAGAGGAAGGAGAAAGAGAACGTGGTACTTGTTATTCTTGGCTGCAATAACGGAAGAAAGAGTAGTCTGACCTGGGAGACAGTTTTTACGGTAACCGTTGTCGTCTTCGTTGGCACAATTTCATGAGCATCGTGTGCTCCAAAGCTGTCTGTAACACTGCATTAAGTTAGCTTGAAATAATAGCAGTTTGGTAAGCAGTTCATGGAGACGGAAAATGGGAGAGAATGTTATCAAAATTAATTAACAAAAGGCGTACTGGGTTAAAATTCGAAATTTTCAGTAAAAAATCCTTGAAAAAAGCAATGTCATTTTTTTTTCTTTCAAATAATCATGTTTTGAGAGGCGACGAAAATGCATCAAAAAGGCGAAGGATACTATCCGGAAGTATGCAGTTCCAGGACTGAAGGGTCTAACAGCTGCTCTGGGCGGGTGGGAGCATCCCTATAGCTTCATCAACTTGGAACATCTACATGGCGATTCGAACGATCTTGTTGTTACTGCCACAGTCAAGTTTGCCATTCTTAAACTGATAATTTGTCAAGTGACTACATGATAAATAAAGCGAGCTGGTGCTCTTACTAGAACAACAGTCATTTAGCATCAAAATGTCACGCAAATTTCGTTTTCTAAAAGTTGATTTTTTGAAAAGCAAGTTGGAGTCTAAGACCGCATGAATCCCGAGCATGTGCAGCTGAGGAACTTACTCTATTTTGCATAACAGGTTCTGGAGAGAAATTAAACAAATTGATCAAGGATTTTATAAAAAATCACTTGATATCTAAAAATTTTGCCTTTTCACCTCGTGGATCATAAACTGGTCTTCTTGTACTGCTGACTGTTTCCCGGAATTGGTCGACATTGCTCCGAATGACTACCTGATCCACTTGTTTACCCACTGTAACCAACGATGGGTCATAATAGAAGTCGAACTGCAATGGTACATTTAAAGATCGAGTGGAGAGATGCATCCTGGTACTTCGTATTCTTTTTTTGCAAATTTCCGATGGGCTTGTTCAAAACATCACCAACATCAAATACCCAAATGATTTATTCGAAAAGTGATGATCTTAAAGCAATAGCAGATGGCGCTTAGGATCAAGCTAATGTTTTGAAAATTCTAATGAAGAAAGCAACAGCTTGACGATTTGTTCATTTGTTTTATTTATAAATTGATTACTGCAGCATGTCAGAGAGACAAAACTGCTTCTAACTTGCTTTGAAAACAGCCCTCGACAAAAAAAAAATATGGTGAGTGACTTCGATAGCGGGCTTTACCATTCGCAAAACGCTATTATTCATTTCGTTCCCCGTCTTTCAGAGAAAGCAACTTATAGGATTTTAGAGTTTCGCTAATAAGTCCGGATATACAGTGTCACTAATAAACAGGAAGACTGACTTACCTGTATAGTCAAATTACCGGTAATTACATCATTTCGATAGGGCCGACCCTGCAGT